TTACCAACAAGAAGAAATGTGACAAGACTTCATCACTTCTAGTCTAAAAATATAATCCAGAGTATAACCTCAACCAAGGCTCAGAGTTTGCAGGATCAGACCCAGAATGGTGAGTTTCAAGGGGAAGGGGGAGAGATTGTTTAAATAACAACTCCTGTTTCAAGCTCCTAGTCAATTTTGTCATTAGTAAGAATCATTAATAAAGTGGAATTTGACAGGCTCTTTACATTATTGACCTACCTTTCAAAAAACAATGTCTAAAATGCATTGTTGTGAAAATAAGTCCGTACCAATTTGAAGAGAAACAATTTATGTGACTCATTGCTAATCATTATTTTCTGTCTACCTCCAAAGTAATTGTGTTTTTAGAAAAGTTGGCTGCATTGTTAATGAAACTGTTTTCTGATTTTCATTAATAAACCTAGGTTTTGTCTACTAAAACTGCTAGGAAAATATTTTGGAATTTATTGGTGTTTATTGTTTTTCTCTGCAAGCATTTCAGACTACATGCTTGATTTATTTGTCAGTTTGCAGGGGAAATAAAAAGCATTGCTGCTTAGATCCCTTCAGAATCCTTAGACAGAGCATGTGCCAGCTCTTCCATTAGCAAAAGTATAGAGAAATGAAGCTGCCAGGCATCCTGGGGTTAAGCAAGCTCCTGACCATCTACTGAGGTTGTTTTGGTCCAAGCCATGTGTGACGCATCTGATGGGAACGCATATGAAACAAATTTGGGTAGATTAGGGAAAACAGTGCTATGATAAACCATCATCTCAAAGTAACAGCAAAATAATGGGGAGGATCGCATCCAGAAGGGAGAGTTTGGCAGTGATGACTTGCCAGTCGCTCAGGTCTTCTGCCTGGCCCAGCCTGGACATGGCTGTTCCCCACGCTCTTTGGCCACTGCACTTACGCTCTGGCAAAGTGTGCATCTCCCTTTGTCAACGTGAAGCACTAGTTTCACGTAGATGCTCGTCTTCCTGATCCTCCTCTCTGCTCCTGCTGCTTGTGACTAACCTGCAGTTGGACATCGAGGGCTTTGTTGCCTGCAGCACACGGATGGGATGGGCTGCGTAACAGGCCAGCAAGAGAGGGCAGAGGGGGGCCGCGCCATGGCCGTGCCTTGGCGAGGGGACAAGGAAACCAGAGGGGTGGAGGATATCATGTCTAGCATAAGGCAATGGGAGCTCACTTATTTTCCCCACAATCTGGAGGACAAAGCCTCCAGCACTGTAGAAGCTCCCTGTTCTCTGTGTTGCCACTGACCGAGGCTAGTGGCAGCACAGTGAAGTGTTGTACGCCCCGCCATTTCCTTCGCTTTCTCTTCCTGTGCCTTCCCAAAGCTCCCAGGCAGCAGCTGGTGCCCATTCCCACACTATGTTTGTTCCACGGACTTGCTGGAAATTAACTTCTGCTCTGTTCTTTCCCTCCAGCCCTGCGCTGGGACCTGAGCTAGCGGCAAGAACCAGAGACTGTTCTAACCTCAGTGCTGAAGAGGACAGCCTTGGCATCTGAAGCTTCCCTGTGTTACAAGAAGATGCTGAAAAGCAACAAAACTGATGAGAAAATTGGCAAGTTACTCAGCGACCCTGAAGAGTGTGTGGAGTGAAGCTGGGAGAGCAGGGTTTCCAACCCTCCAACCAAGCAGGGTGTTTTATCACTGCAGACCGGGCTGCTCCTCTGATCCAGAAACGGAAGCTAAGGAGCGGAGATAACCTGCCGCAGGACGCAAAAGCTCTTAACAGGTAGAACATGAGAGAAGAAATGTGTGTGAGAAGGATGCAGAACGTAATAGAATGTCTTCTGCAACTACTGAAGTGTGCTGAACAAAACGAGGGCTCTCTGCTGTTTGTATGTTTTGTAAAAATGTTGTGTATTTTTAGCATTTTGTGGAATGAAAGCAGTTTTATGTGCTTTCTATTAAATGTGGCTGGCAAATGGCTGTGACATAGCAGCAGACTAAACACATAGGTAATAGCCTCAGCGTCCCCTGATTTTATTTGCTTTGCTGACACTTACCTTTCCCCAGTAACATCTGAAAGATTTTGCTATAAACTCTTCTTTTGTCTAGGGAAAAAAAGTTGACTCTGCCACTTGTTCAGTCTGTGATTACGCCAAACAGTGCATTTCCTAAAGGAAGGGAAAGTGCTGTAGTTGTCTGCTTGATAGGCTAAAGGGAAATGCTTTTAACAGTTATGAAAAGAAAAAAACATTGTAAAACATGTAGTTTATAAATCAAAGCTCCGGAGGGAGATCTTTATCAACACTATTTGATGTAAACACATCGGTCTTAAGCAAGGCCAGAAGACTGAAGTAACTTTAACTAACAGTTCCCAGTGCGTAGTACACATCGTTCCACCAACGGAGTGCAAGGAGTACTGCCGTTGGAGTGTGAAGCTCCTCCACGGACCGTTCAGTTGCATCGTTGGCTGCAAAGCTCAGGCGTCGCGTTGGTCTGTGGGCCCAGACACCCGGCACGCCACGCAGCCAGCTGCCCTCGGGAGCTCCTGCTGCGGTGTCTGCTGACGGGAAGTAGCAAATGCCACCCAGCCGCCCCTGGAAGGCTCTGCCCGCAGCCTAGGAATGCAAACAGATGTCTGCGGCTGGCATTTTTCCTGGACTTGAATGAGGCCGTTTATATGCAACGCAGCTGCTCAAAAGGGTCATAGTTTCTGATGGAATGTGTCCTACTACAAAGCATTCCAGAGGCTAAATTTAGGGGTAGCTTTTTGGAAAAATGTAAGTCTGAAAAGAAGTATTTGTAACAAATTATTGTGTTGTTCTCCTACTTTATCTCCATACAGCAGGAGCCAGCAAATGATCCCTAAAACCAGGGAACGGCAGATCTTTGCTAGCGCTGGCGGTTCGTTACCATTCAGCAAGCATCCAAGCTGAGGGAGCCCGGACAGGAGGACCTGCGATCTTCAGCGAAGTGACTGTGGTTTGTTCTTGCTGTTGTTTCTATTGTCTCATAAACACAACATCCACATCGCTTAAAGAAACGTGCCAGATCCAAAGTAACAGAATTCCCCATCCCTAAGCAGCAGAAGTCAGACCTTTTCTTTGAAATCCCACCCTCAAGTCGCTTTACTGAAAAGTCATCCCCCAGATTTAAACCATCTAACGACGTGCTGTTGCGTCTCTGAGAAGTGGTGCGAAGCGCACCCCAGGGTTACGGTGTACACTGTGCTTCATGAGGCATGTGCCAACACCCCAATAAATTAGTTAACACTGTTATTATGTAGTGGTGAAAACCAAGCAGGGCATAGTTTACTGACTTCTATCTGGCGCGCAGGTTGCAGCAGTCTGTTGGCAGCTTACTCATCCTTCTGTCTTCCCCCTGGCACATACTCGCACACCTTTCTTCCCCACAACCTGGGAGTGCAAAATTAAATTTTTATTAAAAAAAAAAAACAAACAGAAAACAAAATCAAGCCAACCAAGCATGCTGCCTGTGAGCTGCCCGCATGCATTGCCACAGCCAAAGTTTCATTTGCGGTGCAAACGCTGGCCCTGTCAGAAGCAGTCAGTTCAGTGACTCAGCAAGAGAAGCAGAGGGGAAAGGCAGCGTTAACAGCTGGGTCATTCTGCTCCTTTCCCAGTGCCGGTACTGCAAAAATGGTGCCTTTATTTACAGTTTCATTCGTACATCCAAGCAAGTGCTGATCACTCGAAGGCTGCTGCAGAGTTGGATTTCCGTCAAAGCCCTGTGCAAACCGGGTGCGTCATTTCGGAAATGAGAAGATTTGGATTTGTTTCTGTTCTAGTTCACTATGTGACTTTAGATGTCGCACTTGGATCACCACTGCCTCAGTTTCCTCAGCTGCTCAACAGACGAGACTGGACTACTAGGGCTGTGGCTTACATAGTGTTTGCAAGCTTCACTGTCTTCAAAAAAAGCATCTGAGACCCTCCAAGAGAAAACACGACTGAAACATAAAGCTCTACCATGACACAGGTGAGCACAACCTGCTTTTTTAGAAGCACGTTAGCTTCTCTCTAGGTAGCTGATGGCGGTGAAGGTAACGTTGCATGTGTGCAGCCACCAAAATACCTGGCAGGATTTAACAGGCTGTTATTTTTCCGTGTGGTCCACTGTTAGAAACATCTTTACCAAAGTTCAAATTCTGGAATTCCCTCTTGATGAATTTTTCTGTTGTCAGTTTCTGCCAAATACAATCGTTTAGTAAATGCCACATTTCCCGGACCGGAAACATAGGCTAGATGCTGTTATTAAACCTCAATATGTTTAAAGCAAAGCTTGTCATTTAGCTGTCAAACTGCCAGGAAAGTCGTTCAGCAGAGGGTAGCTGGACTGTTCGTACTGAAAACTATGAATGACTCCCTCCTATATTGTGGCAGGTGCACGAAAAACCCCACAACCTACCTCAAAGATACTGTATTTCCTACCACAAGTAATGAATAATTAAAAATAAATCGCATTTTAAATAGCTCTAAAGAGCCCTCCATCTTTGGCTAGTCCAAGTTAATGTAACAAAAACGAGGCAGATGATTTCAAAGTGTTTACACTTATTGCAAAAATGTGTTACAACTTTGCACACGTGAACTACCACAGTTTTTGATGTCTGAAGCTAAAATTGTATTAGCAGTCCAAAACAGACATAGGAATGTAAAGATTTTAAGTGCCAGTTAGCTTAGTGTACTTGTAAAGTCCAAAATCCACCAAAAATGCAGTTTACAACTGATTTTGGTTAGTGAGAAACCAGCTAAAAACAGGTTGAAACAAATATTTTTAGAGAAAAATCCTACCTATGCAATGACCAATAAAATTTAAGTCAATTTTCATTATATTTTTGTAGCTGCCTATAAGCTAATTTCCCAGATACTATTCTGTGTAGGAGTAATGAAACATTTCTTTAGGAAAATCCAGGTGATTTTATTTCGCTCATAGATACATGTAGAGTGTAACACTAGCATCACCCCTTCTATACAAAACCCGTTTAACATAGCAGAATACCAACGATTTCCTCCTCAGGCAATTATGATCGAGCGGACAGACACTGATTCACCACTTCCAGTAAGTGAGAGTTTTCCAAAGCAGCTGCTACACGTTCTTTATCAGCAAGCTGTTTATTAACTGTGCAGGAAAAAACACCACAAGAAACCGGTCAAAAAATTGGTATACGATGTCTTTTTTAAAGTATTTGACGTTGAGACACATAATCACACTCTCACCACGGTACTCAGGTAGACTAGTAATTCTGCAGATGCTAAGTGCTCTGCAGAGTTGCAGCCTGAAGTCAAAGCTAGCACGTTACCACACGTTAAACCAGCGAGCTGTTTCCAATGTGGCAGGGAGCTACGCCTGCGGAGGTGTAACACAGGAAGAAATTCCCCCCCAGCCTCCCCCCATTTTCCGAGTCCTCCACAGCCCAGGCAAATCAATGACTAGCTCATGGGCTGCCTGAGGGTCTGGAGTACAGTACAGAACACATCGAACTGTCACTGTTACACGCTCCTGTTCTGTACCATCCCCCAAAGGCTGATGCGTGTAAAGTCCCAGATGCTGAACAGCTGCTCTGCAGGTGTGGGAGTCTCTCTCCTCTCTCAGATTTCAAAAAAAATTAAAGACTAAAAAACCTTACCTGCATGCTCAGAGGCATGTGTTCCCGGTGTTATATGAACATCCAGCTTGAAAAGCATCACAAAAGGAAACGGGACAAGTCAACACAACACTGGAAGCTCAAGGTCGAAGTATTTCATGATATGACAATAACAAAAAGAGGGGGAAAAAGGACACTCTTGCCAATAGCAGTTACTGTACACAGCAGAATAAAATACAGTCTAAAATGAGAGAACACTCCATTCCATCTGCTTACACTTCCTCCAGACAGGGGTGAGACCCCAGGCTCTCCTCCTCCTCCTCCCGGGCAGGCAGGCAGCTCCCCATCATCGCCCTGCCTGCCTTGAGCCCTGCTCCGGTGTCGATGCCTGAACCCACTGCCCGCCGGAGCGCTTCCCCACCCGTAACACGAGAAAAGCTCTCGTTATGCTTCACTGTAAGTTAGCTTATTGTGTTACCTTTTTTTAAAATTTATTTCAAACACAACCCCCTTCTTTTGTTTTCCAGCATGGTTTGAGTACTCACCTTAAACCTCTCAGGCAGCGATCTGATCAGTTTTACTTTTATGGAGAGGCCGATGAGGGTCGCCATGCTGCAGTGCGGGATGGTGGGCGTGAACTCCACCGCCACCGTGCTCTCCGCGTCGTTCACCTGTCGGAAGGCACAGACACACCTCCGGCACCGAACCGCGAGCCTCCCCCGCCCCTACCCCCCGGCACCCGCCTTCGGTCCCTGACACCGGTAAATGCTGCGGTCACCCTCACACCCTCACCATCGCCCGCCCTTTCTCCCCTCACACCCTCCCCTGTGCTTGCTCCCCTCACACCCTCACCATCACCGGCGCTTGCTCCCCTCACACCCTCATCTTCCCCCACACTTGCTCCTCTCACACTCTCCCCTCACCTTCACCCGCACTTGCTCCACCACGTTCAGCTCCTCCAGCGTGAGCGGGTGCTCGGGGTCGTTAATGGAGCGAATGAGATGTGCGGGGTTAAGGAAAGCGGCGCGGAGCCGCCCCGCTCGGCCCCCACCCCCCGGCCCCGCCCTCC